ACATCATTTCTATAGTATACTCACCAAAAAAATGTATAATCTTAGTGTAATCATGAGGAAACCTAAGACAGCCCCAAATTGAGGGACATTGGACAAAATAACTGATCTATCAATACTCTTCCAAATGGTCAAAATCAAGAAAGACAGGCAAAGACTGAGGAACTATAACAGATTGCAGAACTAAAGAAAAATACCAACTAAATGAAATGTGGGACTCTGGATAGAAGACTGGAACAGAAAAAAGAAAAAGTGGGAAAACTAATGAGATTCAAATAAAATCTTTAGTTTAGTTAATTTCTAATGTTAATTTCCTGATTCTGATAATTATGCTGTGACAGTATAGAATATTAGGGGAAACTAGGTAAGGGATATATGAAAACTCCCTATTAATTCTGTAACTTTTCTATAAGTCTAAAATAAGTTCAAAATTTAAAAAGTTTTTAAGGGTGTTGGAAAGTTTGGGAACTTGGTTTCCCTTGTATTTCTCCACAGCCTAAGCTTAACTGAGACTGGACAACTTAGTTCTCAGGCTGTTACCAAGTATTTCTCTTACCTTCCCTGTATTGGTAAGTTATTTGAAACCCTACATTTCAAAAGACTTGCTTTCCATGCTTCATGTTGCTTATCAAGAGTTAGTAGGGGCTATTCAACATTATACTGGAATTCATAGGCAATGTATTAAAGCAAAAAAAGGAACTATAAGGATCATAAAGGATGAAAATAAAACTTTATTATTCATAGAATTATTTTTTGTGTAGAGAATTCAAAAGAATCTACAGGTAAATTAATAGAATTAACATGATTTTATCAAGGTTGCTGGATACAAGATCAATATATAAAACTCACTTGTATTCCTATGTACGTGCAGGAAAGAGAAAGTGAAAAAAATTTTAAAGATACTACTTACAAATGCATAATAAATATAAATTGAGTTCTAATGAAAAAGATGTGCAAGACCTCTAAAGAGAAATGACACAACTTTACTTAGTAATACTAACAAGGACCTAAATTAATTGACATATAGCATATTCGTGGATTAGAAGACTCAATATTTTAAAATTTCAGTTCTTTCAAAATAGATTTATAGGATCATTAGAATCTCAGTGTAAACCCCAACAGGACTTTTTAATGAAACATTGTAAGCAGACTGTAAAATGTATGTAAGTGCAAAAAGCCAAGAATAGCCAAATTCTCTTGAAGAACAACATGTGCAGACTTGATCCTCCACTTATCAAGACTTAATATAAAGTTATAATAATATTTAAGATAATGTCCAGCCAAAGTTTAAAGAATAGATAAACATTCATATATGCACATATTGAAATACACAGAAGGCAAATGAGCAATCTCATGCAACTCACCACAACATAGATGACCCTTGTAATATTAAGCAAAAGAAACAGAAATAAAAAATTATATACAGTATAACTCCATTAATATAAAGTTCATAGTGGGTTGAGCTAACCTATATTGTTTAGAGATATGTACACTAGTGGTAAAACTATAAAGAAAAGCAAAGGAATGATCACAAAAGTCAAAATAATGAATACCTCTGTGGGGAGAAATGGAGTTCCGATAAAAAACCTGAGTGGGGGTAACATGGGTGTTTGTTTTATAAATATTTATTAAACTCAATACCTATTTTAATGTGCTTTCTATGTGTGTGTTATGTTTCACAATAAAAGTGGGGATTACTAAATTAATTACTAAAAAATGTAATTAAGACAGTGTGGTATTGCAGTGATCGACAATTAGGCCAATGGAACAGAAAAGAGTCTGTTAGTTGCATGGTTAATATCAGATGTGCCACTATAGAAACAGACTTTTTAATAAATTATGTGAAATAATTGGATTCTGATATGAAAAAACAATTTTTAGACTCTATCTCACACCATACACAGAAATCTATTCCTGGTAAATTAAAGACCTAAACGTAAAAGGTAAAACAATAAAGATTTTTTGGAATAATATAGAATATCTTCATGATTTTGAGGTAGGAAATGATTTCTTGCACAAGACACAAAAAGCATTAGCCCAAAAGGAAAAAACTGATAAATTGAATTAAGTAAAAATTAAGAACTTTTGTTCATTCAAAGGCAACTGTAAAATTTGGAAAGCAAACCACAGAATGGGAGAGATACTTATAATAATATACCCAACAAAAGGCTTAAATCTATATATTATAGATTTAATATACAAATCTGTAAGGAAACAATAAGATTGATCAACATTATTGGTAATCAATGAAGTGAAAATTGAAATTAAAATGAGTTACACTCTAACTTATACACATTAAAATTAAAAATCTGACATCGTGCTAATACAGATGTGGATAATGGGAACCGTCATACAATGCTGGTGGGAGGGTAAATGTACAACCATTTGGAAAACAGTTTGGCATTTTCTGGTAAATGCCCCAGTAGTTATGCTTCAGGGTATATTATCTCAAGGTACTCATTCATCTATGCACCAGGAGACCTGTGTATAAAAATATTCTTAGCAGTATCATTCATAATAGCCCCAAACTGGAAACAGAGACAAGAGACAATGCAAGCCTGGAGACAAAGAGCATGGGGAGCAGCTGGCTTGGATCCTGAAGGCTTTTTAGTTCTGGTTCTTGTATCTGATGAGGCCCAGCTGCCCTTGATACTCTTAATCAATTTCCTATTTTGCTTAAGCCAATTTGAGCAGGTTTTCTGTTTCTTGTAATCAATAGAGACTTGCTTAGAAAAACATGTGGAAGTGGAACCTATAAATTACAAGACTTCAGAGATACAGCTATCAATATGAAGGCCTTATGTTAGTCCTGATGTAAACACAAAGGTTGTAAAAGAAAGCACATCATATAATAGCAAATAATTTTTTTAAAAATCACCGCAAAACCCACTATATTGGCTCAAGGCCTCTCATGAGGTTGCAGTCAAGCTGTCATTCATCTCAAGGCTCTACAGAGTGTCAGTTTCCAGGCTCACGTATGTGTTTGCTGGCAGGCCTGATTTTCTGGCCATGTGGGCCTCTCCATGGACTGTGTAGGTATCCTTACACCATGGCAGCTGGCAGGACCAACTTACATGTGTGGGACCCAATCCAAAATGAAAATGCAGAGCCCCTAGTTCAAAAAGTATTTAGAATTTCAAGATGGTCAGAGTAGACAATGAAGCCAAGTGTGGAGGTTACTAAGCGCAGGGCTCTATGGGATTGCATAGGTCACACACCCTTGAAGCCAACTGTGGTGGCTGGTGACCTAAATGAAAGAAAGAGCCAGAGAGCCATCGAGACAGAAGGCACAGTCTTCTTGCAACCTAATCTCAAAAGTGATATTGGATCATTTTTGTTGTAGTCTATTTATTAGAAGCAAATTACAAGGTCCATCCCACACTTAAGGCGTGGGGATTACACATGGGCATGAATACCAATTAGCCATTGCAGACCATCTTAGAGACCCTCTGCCACAACAACCATTTATG